CAAATCCTGAATCTTCTACACGTGTTGATTCGCAATGTTTATGTTTATTTAAAAGTCGATTTCGAAACGGCATTCTCGATTGGAGGTACATTTTTCTCCTACCGGCGATCTTGTTGCTGCAATCTACAAAAAGGCCACATGAAAGTAGTTCATCTTTTATGGTGTACACCTTCATCAGTACAGTGCCCACATTACTTTCATATCGATTCAACTTGAGATTCTTCTGGTCTGCACTTTTCCACATTGTTTTGGTTCTCCAAACCTCGAGCTACTTTGGTAAGAGATCACCATTTCATTCATCCAATTTAAAGATTTATTTCAGAAGTTACAACGTTGATCGGGGTTTTTTTAGTAGTCACAAATCTACTTAGTTTGACCTTTCTTCGAGCAATACCTTCTGCTTACACACAGTGCTTCACTTTTGTAGAATTCACAATTATCATTCAGCCGTTGATCTACTATTTGTGTCGGATTCTCTTGTTCAACTGGGCCAACCTTTCTCAGCAACCAATCATTGGCCGGCTAAGCGAAACATCAGTTGTTTGTTTGGTAAGAAGTAATTTTGATTCTTGGTACTTTATAACACCTTTTTTATAACAGACTTGTTACACATCACTGTTGATAGCCACAGTTGGGGGAACATTCCTCAAATCTCGGGCATTGAAGACTTTTTGCTATTTGATTTTATTACCAGTGTTTCTCTACGCTTTCTTGTGGCATGTACTGCCAGTTGAACCACTTAGTTGGCTCTTGAATTTAGTTTTTGGAAACCAAAGGCGGGTAAGTCATCTGTGCTTTGTAAAACTTGATCTTATGTATTTACTAAAACTTTTATATTTACAGATGAACCTTTTCGTCCTTTGGTTCACCGTCCTCATATTCACTTGTTTATTTGCATTCTGTCACACTTATTTTTCTAACCGTGTCACCACAACTGTCACTCGTAAACTGTTTCACTTTTCAATATCATTAGTCTTCTTGCTAGGAATTCGATACGATGTTCAGTTCCTTGAATTCTCTTCCAAGTTGATACTGTTTGTTTTCCTTTACATTGAGGTAATTTATTTTAAGATTGAATTCAACTAATACTCTATCTTGCAGATTATACGTCTAAGCAATTTACCACTGCTCAGCAAGGTGATAAACCAAATATTTGAGCACTTTCGGGATGAGAAAGACAGTGGAATACTGACTTTAACGCACATCTACCTGCTAGTTGGCTGTTCGGCTCCTCTCTGGCTCTCCTCTTCACTCACCGATCAGAGCCGACTCTTGCTCGCTTCGGGCGTGATCACTGTCGGAATTGGCGACTCCTTCGCTTCCCTTGGAGGATTCTACTTTGGGTCTCACAAGTGGCCAAACTCGAAGAAATCCTATGAAGGTACATTGTGCTCATTTGTTTCTCAGCTCATTTCCTTGCTGTTGCTGCATATCAGTTTTCGCTTGCCTCAAATCATCCTCTCTGATCTCTTCAAGTTTGGTCTTGTCTCTTTGGCTAGCTCCCTAGCGGAGACGTTCACTAGACACGTAGACAACCTGATTTTACCATTGGTCCAGTACGCTTTGGTGCTGCTTCTATTTTAGATTGTTACACAATTGTTCATTTTACAAAAACGCATTCAATGTGATAATGGTTCTTAAATGTTTGATATGGTTTACTTTTGTTATATAAAATGAAGCAGCTTTTAATTCCGGTAAAGAAAAAAGCATTTGTAAGAGAGAATTTTTTTTGGTAAAGCTGTGAATCAAATGAAAAGTTGTATCTAATAAATATTATTGTTATAAAATGTATTAAATAAACAGGTGATGGAAAGAATTAAAGAATGGCTGATGGAAAATGGAAAATGGGAAAAGCAACATAAATAATATATTATAAATAAAATATCACCAAAAATCGAAATCATAAGTCGATGAAGGATGGGAGGTGAAAGAGGGGAAAGGTGATTGGTGAAAGAAGATCATGCAAAAGTGTGTGTGTGTATACAAGAAGAATATTTGTGCATAGTGAAAAAGTGATGTGTGGGGTGGCAGCTGTTGGGCAGCCAGCAATGTCTGTGTGGCCAGTGTGCTTGTTGTCGTCCCTTGTTCGAACTGTTCGAGATCACAAAATGCAGGCCCATGGATAGCCCTGGTTTTGAATGGATCTGAATATTAAACTGTAAAATAGGTAATGTCAGAAGGTTCACAAGGCTACCTTTTTTGCAAGATGATAGCAGTGTGTTATTAAAACCTACCAGTTTGTATAAAATAAGCCTAGTCGAGAATTTTGTGATGTACAGTAATCTAGCAGAAATTAAGCGTTAGGGAAATAAAATGGTTGAACTACATTGTCAAAGGAAAGCATGTGTAAAAGGGGAAGTCGTTAAAATAAAGTAAGAAAAAAAAGAAAAGAGAAGAGAAGAATCGTTCTACTAAAAAGCAGGCTCGAGAGATAAACTTGAAAACCGATTGTCTGAAAGCGAATGATGATCCAGAGTGTTAATGTCTTTGATGATAAAGTTTTGTCGATCCATGTAGTCGTCAGTCGAAAGGGAAAATGGTTGGTCATTGTTGACAATGTTGATGGAATTGCACTGCACCATATTGAGATTTAGTTCATTGCTAGGTAGCAGAGATGGATCCACATTTAAATGCAAGTAGTCATTGTTCAATGAGTTCAAGTCCAGACCAACGCAAGAGTCATCGTTGAGTGTGTGCGCTTTGGAAGCGGCGTAAATGAGCTCAGAAGTGGTCGTGGCAACTTCGCAAAGCTTTTTAGGAGAATGTTCATCGTCGGTTCCTTTCTGTTTTCCATGTGTTCGCTTGTGTCGCAAAAAGTTAAAATTCCTATCTGACTGGTACACGCACCCTGGGTACTCGCAAACGTACATTTGCCTACGGTTCGAGTTTGGACGCGGTCGCGTCATCTTTGTCATGTTTGGCGACTTGCGAGGACTTTTGATCATGTGGTTGCACTTCCCAGGAGATGTGTCAGTAGAAAGAAAGCTACTGGTTGACTCGTCAGTGGTCGAATTGCTCGTATCAGCAGTGACAATGGGTGCGACAAGCTTTGGAGTCTTCTTCGATTGTCGTTCGGATGAACTCTTATCCTTTTCGGCATTCTTTCCTTCTACAAAACATCAATCAGAATAAGCTCCTTAAAGTGCTAATGGTAATTCACTCACTCTTAAAACAGTACTCCAATTTGCCATTTTTAATGACAATATTGTTAGACTTTAAAGCGGCAATTAGCTCTTGATTGTTCTCAATTGTCAAACACGGCTCAAGATCTTCGTCAAGCTCAAAATCCTCTTCTGAGTTGTCGTCCATGCCAAAAGAGTAGTCCTCCTCTTTGAAAAGGATATCTACTTTTGGATTGAACTTGTTGTAGTCTTTTGAGCTCATATACTGCACATCGATGTCGAGTATGTTTCGAGCAGTAAAGCACCAATCGTCGTAGTGCTTCAAGTAGTCTTTGCTCCATTTTTGCGATGGAAAGCCCCTTTCCACACCTTCGATTTGACGATACCGACGCTGCCAGTGTTTTAGGTACGAGTTTGAGTCAGTATCAAGCCAACGTACTTCTACCTTTTTATCATCATTCACTATGTGCCTAAAAGTAAACAAAAATTAATTTACAAAAAATTGCAAATGGTAGACCAAAAGCAAAAATGAATTTTGGCTTCAAATGTACTTGTAGAAAACAAATTAAATACATACCTGAACTTTTTGGGCTTTGAGCTCACTTTGAGGTTCAGATTTTGCACTGGAAAGCCAGATGATGCATTCTGATTGTTAGTTGTCATCATTGGCTTTGTGTCGACTCCCTTGCGCTCAACAGCCATTCAAAGTGCACGCATAACAAGGGCCTAGGTGGTGGATTCCCGTATGTGTAACAAAGTGGTATTTTGTGGTTTCAGGGTTTGACTCCGCGACAAGAGACGATCTAGGCGCAGAGTTTGATGATAACGACTGACAACAAAGCGAAAATCGTACAAACAACAAACAGCTGATTACTGCAACATCAACTGACGATGTTACCCATAAACACTAGTTTCGAATATCGCTGATCGGGGGCAGTACAGCCCACAGGTACCACTTGCCTTGGCTCAACTTTTGACATATTTTGGAGAATGAGGTAATGCGTGTGCGCATGCGACTGGCAAGTCAAACGGCTCAAAAAAGTACATGGAATATTGGCTTTCTTGTCCTACCTGTCTCTTTTAGTTTCTGTCAAAGTTTCCTTCAGGAAATGTTATTTTTTATTCAGTATTATCGAACGGGTGAGCTTTTTCCCATAGAGGTACAGCAAAAAGCCTTCTTTTCCGACAAGACTATACTTGAGTGAAAAGTTGCAAAACAAAAAAATTGAACATAACCAAGACTTGGAAAAAAATACTGCAATAATCATAGGAACAAGTTCCCCAGCAGCAAATTGGCTTATCTAATACGGGGAAATCATTCATATTTACTAATTACCGGATTTTTTTGGTAAATGCTACTTTTATGGTGAATGCCTCCTTTCGGGCCCACAGTCGGCTTTTACTGGGCACCTAAATTGCCATCCATCTCGGACTCTGACCACATTTGGAGATTGCTGATTCAAATTTTCAGTTCCTGTGCTTTATTCTAGCGTCACGGCAACTCTTGGACTTCCAAAATGGACTTTCTTAATCGCCATGTCCGAGTTGAATACCAGAAAATGCCATGGGCAGTTGTATTTGAATGACCCATTGTAGAGGGCACTATCGCACCCGCCAAGAGAAATGGAGAGATTTCGCCTCTACTGCGAGCACAAGGCATGAGGGCGTGTCTATCTTTGGAATCTATCTTCCGTATGTATTTAGATTGGGTTTCGGTGTTTTGAATCGCACCTAGATTTGTTGTCTCTGTGACACCTCGGATCGAATTACTGTGGGTGAGCGTAGGCCAGCACCAACACACACCACCTACGTTGATACAGCGTGAGTGAAGGCTTGTTGCCTGCTCATCAGTGCAGCTCACCAACGCCAACGTTCACAATGGATTCATTGGGCAGCACAAACAACAACTGTCAAGTCGGCTCCAACGGGTCTCGAATGATGTCGCAAAATGGCACCTCTGCTTCAAACGGACCAACCGGTCCGGCCAATTCAGCCAACGCCGACGTCCGGCAAACATACACCATTCCGGGAATCGTCCAGTTTCTGCAGTACGAATGGCAACGCTTTGAAATGCATCGACAACAATGGGAGGCAAGTAACTTCAATGTGCTTTGAAGCAGACTACAACTGCATCACTTCCTTCTTATTGCCAACTTTTACAGGTAGAAAAGTCTGAGCTTCAGGCACGAATCGCTTTACTTCAGGGAGAAAGAAAAGGCCAAGAGAATTTAAAGAACGACCTAATTAGGAGAATCAAAATGCTCGAATATTGTTTACGGCAAGAAAGAGCTAAATTTCACAAGTTAAAGTTTGGCGTCGACCCACCCAATGGCAATTCTCCCGACGATTTGAATGATGAGTTTAGTAATTTAGAACTTGACGAAAACATGAACGCCGATGGACAGAACTCAGTCAACTGGAAATTGGTAATTTGACCATTTTATACAAGAAAAAGGTGCACCACTTACTCACATTTCCTTATTTGCATATTTAGGGCCGACAGCTGTTACGTCACTATTTACAAGAAATTGGGTACACCGATACGATAATCGATGTGCGCTCAAATCGTGTTAGATCTCTCTTGGGTCTCTCTAATTTAAATGAAGAACTAACGAGTGAACAAGCTGCCAACAAAGTTCTCCAATCTAAGCTATTAAAAAACAAGGGGAAACTAGAAGCAATGAATCCGGCAAACATGCTGGTAAATGATGCTGAGTCCAGTGTTCTCGCGACCTTTGAGTTTCTCAACAATCAAAATGACAATGGAATGATGGAGGGCATAAAAACAGACGACGACGACTACATTGATAGTGCTGAACCGGGCTCAGTTGGAAATGATGAAACGGAAGAAGTTTTGAATGAGTTTGATTTAATTTTAAATAATCGCATGGAAATTAATGAGCACGAACTTACAAATTGGAAGTCAAGCGGTAAGTTGTTTACCTTTTTACGACTACTTTGTGTTTAATTGTTTTCTTTTTTCAGTCACCAAAGATGTAGATATTGGAGAACTAGCCTCTTTAACGGAAACAAACAATGTAATTGATTGCAATACCACTTTGAGCACCGAAGTCAGAAAGACGTGGAGTCAAAAGTACATTTTAAAGTATGTATATATTGTTTTGTTTTGAACTTTTTTCTATTTTATTGACATTTTGTTTCACTTTTCAGATCCCATTATGATTGCATTAGATCTTTGCGATTTCATGCAACTGAACCCTTGTTGATTACTGCGTCAGAAGATGAGACGCTAAAGTTGTGGAATTTAAACAAACCTCAAGCATCTAAAAGTGAGTAAAATGTTCAAATAATAACCGATTCTTACTGACAATCACCTTCCCCCGGTCAGGCAAACAACAAATAAACACTGTGAATGCAACTCTAGACCTGGAGCCCGTCCACACGTACAGAGGACACACATCTCGTGTTTTGACTCTTTGTCTGAACGGAAACACCTTCTACTCTGGCTCACAGAATGGCGAGATCATCGCCTGGTCTATACCATCAAATGTCATGAGCATGGATCCGTATGATCCCTACGATGCGAAGCTTCAACTAAGCAACACAGCGGCTCACAATGATGCTATTTGGTCGCTTGCTTCCCTCACCTCTTCGGCAACTAATTCTCAAATTTTGTGTTCTGCGTCCGCCGATGGTGCCATTAAAATATGGGACACAACACGCTCGGTATCTCCCCTCAAAACTATTGATCAGAATGGTAATTAACTGAACTTGAACCAAAATGAATCTAAAATCTAACAAAACGGTTTGCATTGGCTAGAAGGAGCTGTTCCTACGGACCTTTTTGTGATTGGAACACCCAATTTGAATACCAATGTCAGTTCATCACCACTGCTAATATCATCCTACAACGATGGGTCAATTTCGTTGTACGATATTGAGGGCAGTACTACGCCCGTTTTGTCCTTTGAAAAGGTGCCCAACAGCGGCATCATTTTCTCACTTGCTGTCCACCCAACGATGCCAATTGTGATTAGTGCCCATCAAGATAGGCATATCCGACTGTGGGACATTAACACAGGTAATACTTTTAAGTTAAGCCATCTAACAGCAGTTTTTAATTTTCCATTTTCTGCCTAGGCAAATGCATTCACTCAATGGTTGCTCATCTTGACCAAGTCACTTCGGTTGATTGCGATCCTAATGGTCTTTATCTTCTAAGTGGAAGTATGTTCTTCAGCGTATTTATATTTCCAAGTTGTTATTAATTACTTTTCTTTAATTTAGGCCATGACTGTAGCGTCAGACTTTGGAACTTTGATAACAAAAATTGCGTTCAAGAAATAACATCTCACCGGAAGAAGTTTGGTGAGGCAATTTTTGATGTAACGTTCCATCCATCGAAGCCTTATTTTGCAAGCGCCGGTGCTGATGCTTTAGCAAAGGTGTTCGTCTAGAAAGTTTTCATAATTTAAGCGCATGCCCCACCCCCTTTTCATCAGTTAAAATTGCTGAAGCATTGAAGCAGAAGATTGACTTTTTCCAAAGTATTGACTCAAACTCGTTAATGTCGATTATATTTCGTAATGGGAGCTGAAGTGATTTGCCATTCACCTTGTGGATACTGATCTGTGGTACTTTTCCCTCAGTTCTCATTGATTTAGTCTTGTATTATTGCTTATCATTTAGAAGTACTTTTTCTTATTCTTTATTTATTTGAATTGCAAGTTGATTCTTTGCAACTTGTCACCTGTAAGGATTTTTCCACCTGAACTCGTCTATGATCGTATTCGGGTTCAACTACTCATTTTCATTTTTGCAGCCGTTTTCCGACTAAACGAAGAATAAACACCTGAGCTATAGGCCATTTGTCATTTGTAGACTGTTGCAAGCACAAGCAATGCTGCTCTCACCGGCGTACACGTCTCTCCCCTCTTTGAAGCTGTCCACTAGAGGTAGTATCCACTAGAGATGCACTAGAGGTGCACCCGACCCTAGCCACAAGTCAAGTCCTCTTGCCAATGCTCTCTTGGTGGTGACAATCACACTCCTTCCTTAATACTTCACTGTCCAGCACTGTTCCCACCGTACACATCGTATGAGGATGAGTTGTAATGCATTTTGGCATTTTGGCCGCATTTGCAATAACTTCACTCAATAAAGACTGCTCTATCAGATCATTTGCGTGCCCCCGATTACTCTTGATGATGATGTCTTCTCCTTGTTGATGATGCCTTTTGCTCATGCTTCCTAGGTGGACAAAGTCAGGATTAATTTCCGATAGAGATGCACTGATTGGTGCATTCGCTGATTGTCTTGTCGTGTGTAGTCGATGATATTCAATTTACCTTTGTCAATCATTACTGGAGATCGAATCGAACTGCATTTGTGGGAGTACTAAATGACTTTGTAGTTATTACATGAGTGTGGCCATCATTAGGGTGAAGCTTAGTCAATCTGAGCAGTCATTTGACTGGAAGGGGGCATCTCGCACATTGATCGTCTAATAGTGCCACAATTAGCCAAATAGTGGACACTGAGCGCACTGAGNTTAGGGTGAAGCTTAGTCAATCTGAGCAGTCATTTGACTGGAAAGGGGCATCTCGCACATTGATCGCCTAGTAGTGCCACAATTAGCCAAGTAGTGGACACTGAGTGCACTGACATCAAGTACTGGCAGCTTCTTTCACCTCGTCCCACAAGGAAATGGTAGCCTGTATCTTTGAGTGGACGGCAAATGCAGATGAACAGCAGGCAGAATCTGCTACGTTTTTTCTTGGCGCTCTTTAATGAAGAGTTTATGTGCTATTTAAATGCATACATTGTTATTAGTCCGACCATGAAGAGGACTTGATTAAATTATTAAATTTGATTAGCGCACTGTGGTGTGCGTGTGTCCACAGTGGTCGAGCACGTAGGCACTTTACTAGAGCGGCCTCAAATGGACAGTGAACAGCGACAGGACAAAGAGTGCTACTACAACCAGTGAATACGCTAGCAGTCTGGTAAGCGGTTCTGCGGAAGGCTACGCTAAACTTGACTCGCGATCGACAACGGCAAACTCCGACGACGAGGAATGGACGATGGAATGAACAAAACGAGTGACAAATAGTCCGAATGGAAGGCTCGCTGCTCTTGATGATAGTGTGGCATTAATTAAAATTCAAATTGTGTGACGCAAAAAGCTCTGAAGGAAGAGCGACGACAGGTGCACTGGCAGGCCACTTTCCGTAGAGTAGCTCCTGTCGACCGACTACTACCGTATTGGCCGTCGTTCTCTTGTCAAACGATAAACGCTGCTTTATATTCATTTGCTAGCGACTTCACTTGTCAACTTGCGATGTACGCTACCAAGTGGCTGTTAGATTCAATTCCAAATGGATTGTTAGTATTAAGGAGCGAACAACAAGCACATTAATAACCATAATCACGCTGCTCATCGCTTAATGATCACCGGAGCGGATTACATACAAGCACATTGTGCTCAGTGTCAGCTGGGCACGCACAATGCTGGGCAAATTGGGCAATTGTTCAGTTGCACTCTCGCACTGTGGCCACAATCCCAAATGTTGAAAGCGTTGCTGGGGTGCCCTATCGATAGGTCGCACTAGGTAGAACATAACAAGGCTATTCATTTGAATAAGTCAACAGGCAATGGTGCAGCAGCGTGCCTCGTTAATATGCCGACGGAGTGCATGTCACCGCATAATGGCCATCCGAGAACAGGCCATCTGCACTGAGCACAATGTGAGCAATTTAATTACATGCCATAATTAGACAAATTTGCAGATCACAATTAGGCGCCTCTTTGATGCCGCTCACTCATCGACAATGGACGCCAGCTAACAGTCCACGCAACACCTAATTATTTGCATATTTCGTATTAATCAATTGCACCAGTGCACTGTGGGTTCTGTGCTTCCCCCAGAGAGGAGTTGGTGGGCTCAAGCGAATGGCCAATGGGGCAAGGGACAATGGCCACGACCGACCAGCCTACACACGGTGAATGCACCACAAATTGATTGGTTCGGCCAGATGGCCACTTTGAATTACCCATTCCTGGCTCGTTTCCAAATGACATGCCTACGTTATAAACTTTTTTCCGCTCGACCGTGATCCTCATTTAGCCAAAACGGTCTCTCTGAATCGAGGCGCTAATCTCTACACTTGTCAATATTGTTGAAATGCAGTACAGGTGCTTTAACCTGTGCACAAACCACATTACACACACAGAATGCAGGCAATTAATGGGCGAATAAAAGTCGTGTTTATGATGAATTAAATAATTTAATGAACAGCACAAATGATTTTGTATGTACAGAAGAGAGTCTTCTATCAGTTCAATTCGCTACCAACATCTCTACAAGCTAAGAGTGTACTTTTTAATGCAATAAATTATACTAAATAAGTGGGTGGCCATCAAAGTATAAAGAAAGATAAAGTGGATAGAGGGAGTCTGCAGTGTTTGCCCCGATGACTAGAAAAAACAGGTATCGCCGGAAGGGGCAGAAGTGGCGAGTGGCGGTAGTACTCAAATCACAATGAGTGCTGCTTCTGTGGTTGTCTTGTGTGGCGTTTTCAAGAACGTGTCAGCTGGTTAGCACAGCGCACTGGTGCTCATTGAGAAAGTCTGCCTGTCCATGGAGGAGTGCAGAGAAATCGGCGGGCCTGTGCCGCCAGACAGACGACCATCGGCGCCGTGTTGCCAGGGTTGCAGGTTCTGCAGTGCATGGAGAGAGGATGCACCAAGGCACAGGGCAGAGTCTCGCTGGTGCTGGCTGCTGCCAAGGGTCACCGTATTCGATGCTGGCGAGGTCTGCGGCGAAGACAGGTGGGACTGGGCTGCTGCCGCCGCCGCTGCTGCTGCCGCTTGGTGATGCGGGTGAAGGGCGAGGTCGACGGCCATGTCCGATGGGCCGCAGATGGGATGGTTGCCGTAGAGGGACTTGCTCACCACTTCGGCCTGCAGTGTCATCATCAACCGATTGGCCGCCTGTCTTTCCGCCTAGAGAGAGTGAGAGAGTGAGAGAGAGA